TCTAACTTGTAAATTGCTACAAATTTCAACAAGTGGTAACCGCATTCTTCTTCTCTTTGCCCCCAATGTGAACTTAAAATCCACAATTGAAGCCAAAGTGTGCTCCATGGAAATGGAGTTTTTGTGGAAATTCCTTAAGGTTAAGCTAAAATATTTCCCACATTGATTTGGTGGGAAGTTTTGAAAGGGTTTATAAGGCTTAGGGTGAGATACTTGGGGTGTGCCCCAAGGGGTACCCAAGTGTTTTAGAGGGAGAGGTTATGGGCAAAATGGGCTAGACCCATTGGACCCAAAAATCACCACACGCGCACGCGCCTCCGCCGTCCGTCCGGGCGGGCTGGGCTTGGGCGCTAGTGTGTGGTTGGGTTGGGCCAAAAATATTTGAATTTAATTTTATTTTTTGGTAAAATAAAATCCAGAATCCAAACAGGGCCCTTCCCGTTTTCAAACAGAAATAAACTAGTTTGGAATTAGTGCACACCCAAACAAGGCCCTTCCCGTTTTTGCTATCTGTTTGAATTGTTAATTGATTCAAATCTGTTTGAATTCAAAACCAACAGGTATCATACCTGTTCAATTTAAAACCAAGAGCTACCTTTACATCTATAAATAGGACCACCCTCATTTGATGTTATTAAATTCAGAAATTTCGTATTTCACCTCTGCTTATTCTATTCTTCATTTTGTTGCATTTTATTTCTAAAAGAAAGAGTATAAACACTTAGTGTGTTCGTAAGGCAAACAATTAGTAGTGCTGCTATTGTTTGTGGTAGATCATTTTCATCCTGGGAGATAGACGTCCAAATTCTCAAAGCACCGTGGAGAGGACGAATCTGTCTTAAGATTGTAGTACAATCTTCACTGTATTTAAAAAGATTAAATTCTGTTGTGTACAAAACAAACAGCAAAATGAAATTGCTGAAAGGAAGAATAGAACCCTAAAAGAAATGATGAATGCCATGTTACTCAAGTAAGTTATTTAATTTATTTTCAGTATTGTTTTTATTTATTAAAATCAGATTTTAATTTTGTTTTTGTAACAAAATAAAATCTGTTTTATTTATTTATTTATTATTTCGAGTTTGATTTTTTGTAATCAAACAAATTCTCTCATTTTCTTTATTTCTTTAAATTCTAATTGTTGTTGTGTACACAATATAATTAAATCTTTTAAATACAGTGAAAATTGTCCAACAGAAATATAGGAAACATATTACGAGGATTATTAATTTCAAGCTTCAAGTAAAATTTTCCCTTTGGAGCCCCTTGAAGTCGCAACTGTACAGCTGTAATTTAGGTATACCCCCACAAAGCTTGTCGTTTCCCTTGACAGAAATAGATGTTACATTTTGAAATATGCCACTTTCTGGTACTGCACCCTCAAAATCATTGAATGGTAGATTTAATTTTTTTAGATGGGAAAGTCCTCCAAATAGTCTGCGATTTTTCCAGAGAAATTATTGTGAAAAAGATTTAACTCCTCCATACCTCTCAAATTACTTAAATATGAAGGAAGGATTCCCCAAAATTTGTTGCTCTCTATATGTAGTAATCTCAATTTTTGGCAACTACCAAGAGTGCTTGGAAACATGTTCTCGGAAACATCAAGTTCTTCTAGATTTTTTAAAATTCCAATTTCCGTTGGAAGGGAACTTGTCAAATCATTACGAGATATGTATAGATACAATAACGATGAGAGACTGAGAACTTCACTAGGTATGGAACCACTAAGATTGTTTTGAATAAGTCTTACTTCCTGTAACATTTGGCATTTCCCCAGACTTGAAGGGATTCTGCCACGAAGATTATTGTTGCATAACATAAGATTTGCCAACACAGTTAAATTTCCAAAAGACAATGGGATATCTTCGTAAATCATATTACCTGAGAGTTCCAATTTCTATAGCTTTTGAAGCTTTCCAATAGCCGCAAGAATGTTACCTGTGAAATTGTTGTTTGACAAGTCAAGAATCTGCAAATTGATCAAATTCCCTATCCCGGTTGGGATGATCCCAACTATTTCATTGTTGCTCAATATTAGTTTGCTAAGATGAGTGGATAAATTGCCAATTGATTCAGGCAACAATCCTCCAAAATTGTTGTTGCTCAGATCTAGACCGTACAAATTTGTCGCATTGGTCAAAGAACGGAGAAAGCTCAAGTCATCAACTTCCCCAGTTCCTAAACCATTTCCGTGGAAGTCCGAAGGAGGAACTTTTCCAGTAAATTTATTACCGGCCAAGCCAAGGTGATGTAGTTTGGTGGCATTAGACATTAAAATAGGAATGGATCTAGTAAACGAGTTCATACCAACTTCAAAGACACTAAGATTGGGAATAGTAATTCCTAGGTCCCAGGAAAGGCTCCCTTGAATTTGGTTCATTACAACATTAAATTCTGTAATGGACGAGAGATTAAAGATTGAGACAGGAATGGTACCAACCAACCTATTAACCCTCAACAGAAAAACTTCCAATTTTGTCAATTGACCCAGATCATTAGGTATGTCACCACCATTACTATTTTCTTCTGCGACAAATTCAGTAGGAGCTGATAGATTCCCAAAAGAAAAAGGCACACTACCCGTTAGATTGTTTCTCCCAATGTACAGTCTCTTTAACTTAGACAGAGAACCCAGCTGCACTTGAATTTTCTGGGTTGCCAGAAAATTCAAGGACAACAAGATTAGAGCAAGCAGATACATTGGCGGGAATTTCACTGCTAATTGAATTATTGAGCAGCGACAACTTCTGCAGTCTAGGAAAATGACTGAGTTATGGGGGAATTTTGTGACTACGACTATTGTTACTCAAGGATAGTTCGTTTAGAAAGCTTAGATTTCCACTGTGAGGTGAAATGGAGCCTGTTAATTTTCGATGATCCAAGTTCAACACAATCAGCCTCTGGTTGGAGCAGCCACATGTTGCACCAAACCATTGACAGAAGTGGATTAATTCATTTCCCGAGTTGAGAGCACCGAATGGATCACTGGTTATTTCAAACTTAAATGCAAGCAAGGCTAGCCAGTCAGTCTCATTCCCACCACAAAACAGAGCAGATAAGAACAACAAAATGCATCAACAGAAAGATAGGCCATGGCACTATTGAACCCATCTGGGTATTGGAAACTCCAAATTGAGTTTGAAAGTCTGTTGTATTTTGCACTGTTTTAAAGAATTTTCAATCTATTTTCCCACTTTGATGAATGAATCAGGTTAACTACTTTGTGAATTCATTGGTTCTTTTTGTTTGCAACCAAACAAAATCTTGGATTAAACAAAGGTTCAATTGATAAATAAAGGTTCTAGCACTATCGATAATACATTAAATAAATAAATACATGAGTAAATATAAGAACACTCAATAAGTTTAATGAAAAAAAATCCTTACTAATAGATCGATGCAGTTAGGGGTGGACATGGGTTAGATGGCCCTCTCAACCCGATATTTTTAATGCTTAGAAAAACATGTAATCCATAGTGCCAAAGTGCTTGGAAAAGGAGTTTTATAAATATTTATTTTAATTTTATATTATTTAATTACTAAATAAATTAAAGAGAGACTTACGTATAGATCCTAATAGGTAAACTTATTATCTAATAGATTCTATGATAATTAATGACGTTTTTCATCAAACACTATTAAAAAATGTCATTAATTGTTAATTTTTAGCGATATTTGAAAATTTTGTTATAAAAAATGTCACTAATATAAGTTTTAGTAACAGTTTAAAAAAATCGTTACAAAAAAAAAATCACTAAGTTTTAACTATCAACGACAGTTTGAAAAATTCGTCATAAAAAAATATCACTAATTATAAGTTTTAATGACAATTTATAAAAACCGTGACAAAAAAAAGTCACTATTGCTAATTTTTAGCGACGTATGCAAAAAATTGTCATAAAGTATATTTTTAACGATGATTTTATTAACACTTATTTTCAATAGGACTTGATAAGAATTAAGTTAAATTATTAATACCTATTGATAGTTTACCTAAACTTGAATGCCCTTTTAGTGTTTAGTAAACCTTTTTTTTTTTTTTTTCTAAATTATGTCATAATTTTTGCTTGTTAAGTTTGTCTAGACTATGATATTGATAATTAAAAAAAAAAAAGAATAAATTCTGTTTATATTTTTTTTACTAAAGACAAAAATGAGTAAAATTTATAATTAAAAAAAATGAACTATTTTTGTCTTTACTGATATATATATATATATATATTTAATTTGAAAGATTATCTAGTCTGAATGAACTTAAAAAATAAAATGCTTTAACTAAAAATAAAAACACTAATGAAATAACCTAAACGTATAAACTACAGTCAATATATCAATATTTCCTCTTCCATAATTACTTGTATTCTAATCTTGTTGCTTTACTAGCAAAAAACTATAGACTCTATTTGTCTACCTTAAGTTCACTTTTTTGTTGAATTTTTAGAATTTGGCAATAAAAACGTGTATAGTAATTTAACCTAGTTTTATCGATTTTGTGTATAATCAGTAATGTTAAGGATTAAAAATTATAGCACAAAAAAATA